TCTGTTTTCATTGAGATAAGGTTATGACAACTCTCCAGAAGTGACTGTTCAGTCACCATTTTACAATGATCTGCATCAAAAAGGAAGATTAGTAGGCAGAAATAAATCCCTCTTGAAGTCTGTGCACATATCCCTTATCTCCTGAGGTCTCACAACCCCCTTCATTCCTTAGTGCTTTGGTAGATGTACCACATAAATTACAATTAAAAAAACCTCCATCAAATCTAGACAACTTTCAGAAACATCCTATGGACTGACTTTCCCGAAGTTATGCATCCAGGATATTTGCTTTCTGGCAGAGATAGTACAAAGATTTTATCCCAGAAAAATAGACACAATTGCTGTGTTATAGTAAGACTAAGTACTAACCTAGGAGTATCACTGATGATGTTATGCATCTGCTGAGGCGTTAAGCCATTTGGACAGATGAATCCCTGCATGGTTTCCTAAAGACCCAGCTGAAGGAGTTAAGATAATGCAGGTTTCCAGGACAGAGAGCTTTCACATGGAATCGTCAGGTAATCATTCAACATCTCAAAACTTTTCTCAAATCTTGTTGTTTAAATTAGTTATGGATAAGATATATTACACAGTTATCCATAACTAATTTAAACAATAAGATCAAAGATATGGTCTAGTCGTTATTAAAACTCCTAAAGAATCAAAGGCTGATCGGCCGAAGGAGGAAATTATTTGGTATAAATTCTCCTTCAATTCAATTGAATTATCTTTTCCTTTTTTTTTTAATAAAGATGCAACTAACTGGTTGTATCCTTATCTATTACACTTTAATTAAATGGAAACAATCTTTTAAGTCTTTGTGGGGTTTTTTTTGCAGGATGCTCTGTCTTAAAGAACTATTAGACATGACAACAGTTGTTCACTACTATAATTATGGATAAAATTAAAACTCTATCTAAAAGTATAGCCATTGCATTGTTCAGATGATAAGGTCAATATTACTGAACTGATCTTGTCCTTGCCAAACAGCTGTACTAAAACTGAGCAATCTTTTCTCCTTTCTGTATTATCTCTTACCTGTTTGAAAATGCACGTTTTTAAAAGAGAAAACCTTTAAAAAAGGCATTAGACATTTCAGATATTCATGACAAGATCTACACAAAGCCAGCAGAGAACCCATTCCATTCTATTCACCGTGGGACTTGCACTGCAGTACTTGAAAGTGAACTAAATTTTCTTTAGATTTACAAATACAGACTTCTTCAGCATGACTGCTAGAGAAACAGTAAACTATTTTCATGGTATATCTGTATGGAAAAGAGAATGTTCTTATACTTGTAGAAGGCTGAGTGCTAGCTCACGCAAAAAATGGATCTTCAAGAAGAGCATAATGGTGGTATTCACTTTCTGTACTGATTTCAAGCCACTGGATCTCTCTTACAAAGAAGGCTGAGAGAGTTGGATCTGTTCAGCCTTGAGAAGAGACAACTGAGAGGGGACATCAACTATGCCTATAAATATCTCAAGGGAGGGTGTCAAGAGGATGCAGTCAGTCTCTTCTTAGTAGTGCCAGGCAATAGGACTAAAGGCAATGAGCAGAAAGTGGTGCACAGGAAGTTCCACCTGAACGTGAGGAAGAGCTTATTTACTGTGTGGGTGACTGAGCACTACAACAGACTGCCCAGAGAGGTTGTGGAGTCTCCCTCACTCAAAATATTCCAGAACCACCTGGACAGAATCCTGTGCAATGTGGTCTAGGATGACCCTGCTTAAGCAGGGAGGTTGGACCAGATTATCCACTTTGGTCCCTTTCAACCTGACCCATCCTGTGATTCCGTGATATCTAAAAGTGCAGGCTCCAGATTTTGTTGATATATTCTATAATTTCATTTTTACTAACTTCAACCAAAAAGCTTACAAACTAAAAGAGCTACGGATTCTTATTTTTGCACACAGTATCATCAGTTCACAGATGAAAGACATTTGCTGTTTACTGAAAACAAAGAGTGTAACCAACTGAAAAGAAGCTTACTTGTTTAGCCAACTTACAAGAAAATCTTGTAAGTTTGTTGTCCTTTCAAAGTTGAAATGAGGACAAGATTAAGAAGAGAACAGGTTTCAAAAGCAATTGTAGTCCAGGGACATGTACATTAGCATTCTTCTCAGCATCACTTTAAGCTCTCATTTTGGGTACTATCCAGTTTTCTGTCACTGACTTCCCTGCTTAGAAGGAGCTCCATCCATCTTCCTCATGGGAAGATGAAATCCTGGCAGAGCCAGCAATTTTTCCTTTTTAAAGTAAGATAACAAGCACTGCTTTTTACCTCACCAAAATATTTTAAAAGTACAGACTGAATATTATGATGCATAGAGATTATACCTAAAATATATATAAAAACATTTTCAGCATCTGTTCCCAGGTATTTGTGTGATATTTGTGTACATGTTTGCCCTCATCTTTATGAAGAATTTTGCAAATTGGACAAAGATGATTAAAGCAGGCATGGCTGTCTTTATTCACTCATGGCTCTGTTTTCCTCCGAAGAGTAAATGAAAGTTTATTGTACTATCCACTAAAATGCTTTCATTAAGTACATCTGTGCTGTGATCTTCTTGTTCTACAGAATTTCAGGCCATTACCTGGAGAGATGCACAGTTAAATGTATTTAATGAATGGTTGGAGGCTGGGAGTTGGGAGGAGAAGGGGAACAGTAGCTGCATTACAAGATTTGCAGAAAAGGCATTTTGCCTTATTTGGTAAGTCATAGACACATATCAACAAATGTTGCTTAAAAATAATTCAGAGATGGAAATTTACCTATATGCCATGGCATAATCTGGCTCCATTTTAGAGAGCCAAGGAAAGGGTCAAAGGACAGATCTGAAAAATCTATGACGAAGACTCAATTAAAAGATTAGCACAGCAAGTAGCTGATTCCACTGTTATGAATATACTTCATCCTGCTCTTTAAGTCTATGCAACATCAAAGACACATTTGCAGGTACAGTCTTGGAGAGCCAGTAACTTAAGATGCCACAGTAATGTCACTTAGTATGTAGGGGGAGGTTAAAAGGAGGATTAAAAGCAGTCAGGCACGATATATTAAAGGAACCCATGACTAATGGGGTGTGACAGCAAATGGTTTCATTCTTTTCAACAGAATAGATCCCTAGGGTTGGAAGTATTAGTCTACTGTGCCTTCAACACCTTGGAATTTTTATGGTTATTTTTGAGGAATTCACATTTTTGTAAATACCTTTTTGACATTAAACCAATTTTCACATTTAATTAAATCCATACATAATCTTAATTCTGCATTAAGAGGTTTGTTGTTCTTATTTTTTATTATTATTACCACCAGGAAATATTTCAAATACCAAAGCATAATGTTAGTTAGTAATTATAACCTCTCAAAGGTCCAGAAACTAGCTAGGTTGTACCTTGTTAACATTATGCAAACTTTATTTGTGCTTTAAGTATCTTGCTTGATAAATGCCACAATTTTTCTTTTCTTTTTGTGGAGGTTTGGCTTATTTCCCCTTCCATATTAGCTCAGGTGATCAATAAGCATAAACAAATCCTTACCAAAGAGGGATGAAAAAATGGGGGATAAGTCTAGAATGTGCCCACAGAGAGTCAAGTGAGGAGTAAAAAGGGTCAAGTTTAAACTGTCTGGCACAAAGAGGGACTGAAAACTGAGCAAAATCAAATAGTGAATGAAATGCAGGAAGGAAAATCTGACACAGGAATGAAATATAGCAAAATGAGAGAGGCGACGACACATTATTTTGCCTTCAATGACAGTAACGATACAGTGGAATTAAATACCTGAATTCAGGTCCATTATGCCAGTTTTAGTTGAGGCATCACACAAATTTCTCAGAATGAATTGAGCTGATCAGCATTTAATTTACAAGATTGTAAAAGATGGTGTCTGGGTGGCTGAGTTGCCCTCTGGGACAGGCAGAACAAGGCTCACAAACCTCCTCTGGCAGACCAGCCTCTGGGCAGCGTGCACAGGAATAAGGGAGCCAAAGAACCACTTGTTAAGGTGAAAATGAATGCTTATTTACTTCATCTCTGATACAGGTGTGGGCATTCATAAGTTTAAAGGAAATTTCTCATGAATACTACAGGTCAGCTCCTCAGGTACTGACATGCTGCTTCAACAAACCATTGAATCAAAACTTACTCTTCCTATTTGCATACTGCAGCTTTAAATACTGCCGCTCAGTGCTTCCAGTGCTGCATGAAGCACTTTTCTGGCTACTTGCTATGAATGGCTGTGCAATTAATTCTAAAACTTCTAAACTATAACTTGTTCAACATAGTGTTGAAATTTCAAAGGTGTATCTATCCCTACACCAATTCATGCATGTTGCCCTTTTATCAGGACCAGGTTCCTTTAAACTGAAAGCTTGGACTTTTATGTTTAATGATCTAAACAATCCAATGAAATAGTGCGCCAGTGATTAATTGGAGCTATAATGAAAAATGCTCAAAAAAAGAAAATCATTCCCTTAGGTCACAACTTAGCTTTTCAGAGATGTACTTATACATATAAACAGTTCTTGTTTCATGGACTTGATATCCACAGGGAACTGATATTGTGAAATGTATTGGTATTGGAAGTGTCTGGCATGTGAAAATAAAATTTAGAGTTTAATCTCATATACTGCCTCAAAATCCATCCTTTCATCTGACACTGGTCAGTATTTTTTAATACTGTGTATTTACCAAGTGCCAGAATTTAAAACTGAAAATTTCTGTTTGCAAAAATTACTTTTATTTGCCTTGTTATGCATGATTAGCGATTAAGCCTCACATCAGAAAACATAAAGCATTAGAACAGGCAGACTCATTAAGTCAAAGATGAAATCAGCTATATACAAACTGAATCTACTATTTCCTATTAACATTTTCTTAATGAACAGTCTGAAATCAGCACAAGTACTTGAAGATACATTGAAACATCTAATATTATAACAGTGACTTCTCCATGTAAGCTTTACACCAGTCAAGACAGTAGGAAATTTACCTTTTTCCTGACTTGTTGATCTTTAGAAGAATGGGCTTTCACATGCTTTCTCAGGGAACTTGGATCTGTGTATCGCTTAGTACATCCTGGAATCTGACACGCGTAAGGTTTCTAAGTCAAAAAGAAAAAGGACGAAGCCGCTGATAAATCACAGATTATTTTAACACAAGAGAATCCCTTTTGAGCCTTGGGATGCTGCAAACCGCATTACTACAGAACACAAATGTACATTATTAAAAGCAGAATGCTTAGTAATTTGTTAGAAAGGGAAAGTATGAAATTAAGGCTTTTAAGGCAGACAAACCAAAGGAAAGTTTTCATTATGGCACCTTTCATTGTTACCTTTTTTTTTTTTGTAATCAGTACAATGAATATTGCTAGATATACTTACAATTCTTCCACCCTCAGAGCAATCTTTGACTTAATCAGAAATTACAGCCTTTAGTGAACCAGGAAAAGAAACTGAAGTAAATGCCCAGAAAGACTTTTTAGGATTACAGAAGGATCTGCTTTAGAAAAAGAGAACAAGAAAAAGTGTTAGTTTACTATATTAGAAAGAAAAAGAGAACAAGAAAAAGTGTTAGTTTACTATATTGGAAAGAAAGCAAGCAAAAACCAAACCAAGCATTGAATACCGCAGTTTCAAAAGTATTACATACACAAAAATACACATTCTAATGGGAAGTACAAGACCAACTCCTTCAGCTCACATTTTCTAATATGTCACCTTAGAAAATCAGGTCCAACTGTTCCCTGAATTTAGCTATTTTGCAATTTAGTAATTTATGTTTCACAAAGCATTTCCAAAAACACTTTGTACAAATGATTAACTTGCCAGCCATAGTACTGACTATTCAAAATGGATCATTTATTTTTTAACAGGCATCTAAGGGCATTCAAATGGCATTGTTGTAATTTTATTTCTGGACTCCTGCCCCCTGGAAGAAGGCTTGTCTCTGACAAAACATGATCTTTTGTTATGAAACAAAAGTTTTTAAACAAATCTCAGCTGTAACTCAAATTTACAAGCCACAATCTGTTGGCATAAAAATTTTTAGATTTGCAAAATTACTCTTCCTCTCTTGACTTTCTGGTACATGCACCAGCCTTAGCTTTTTGTCAAAGAGCAGTTATCGCAGATTGTTTCAATTTCTCTAAAGATCAGCTCAGTGGGAGAAAGTTACTGCCTCTACCTGCAGCAAAGACCACAGACCTGTAGCCTTTTTATCAACTAGCTTGACCCATCTTCTTCCACACTTACATTACTGGATCACTTCTGAAACAGCTTCAACAGCTTCATTAGACACTCCACCCTCCTGTCTCTAAGGTTATGGGCTACCTGCTCTCACCAAGCTGGAGGAAAGGACCACATGGTCTAATGTATAGGGGACCACAAGGGGAATGCTGTATCCTTACAGTCTCCAAGTGTGTCCTCTGGTGCTTGGCACGGTCACTGGAGTTGCTGAATGCTTTCTGGCAGCCAGCGTGTTGGCAAAGGTACGGCTTTTCACCTGTATGGCTCCTTACGTGAATCTTGAGATTTTCTAGTCTGGAAAAGGCTTTCTTGCAACCCTTAAACTAGAAAAGAGAAAGAAATTATTTCAACGGAATGCACACACAGCAAACACCAAACAGGAGTGTGAAAGGACATTGCAGAGACCTCCAGCCTGCTACAGCTGGGTACTTCTCCAGAGCTGAGGAAAGCCTGGCTTCTCAGAGTAGCTGTTGTTGCAGTGTTCAAACCACTTAGATTGTAAGAATGTTATGTATCCTCCCTGCACACAGCTGAATTAGGGAAGTATGTCCTACATTTTACAGACGGGACATTGAGACCCAAAGAGACCAGTCCGCTGAGTGCACAGCTCCTATCTGGGAAACACAGAGCCAGCTGATTCTCCTCCCCATAGCTCACAGAAAGCAAAAGAGCCATCGTGAGGTTCCCAAGTCCTCTACTAACCACCCTTATCTCAGCTCTGGGCTTCTTTGTATACTAGCAACTAAGCCAAAAGAGGCATCTCTCAGTACCGACCCCACCTTTGCAACAGCAAAGACACAGTACACACAGATTTCACAGAGTATTCTGAGTTGGAAGGGCCCAACACAGATTATCAAATCCAACTCTTAAGTGAATGGTCCATACGGGGATGAAAGCCACAACCTTGGTGTTATTAGCACCATACTCTGACCAACTGAGCTAACCTCAGGGTCAGATGCAGAAAAATGTCAGTCTGCTCTGCCTTGCTAATGATGATGTAAAAACTAAAATGATTTCTGAAATATGTCTTTACCTTTCTGCCATGAGTAAATGTATGAGGTACTAAAAATAATGTAAGCCTGTCAAACTAGGATGTAAACCTTATGGGTAACCAATAATTGCCGGGGTTTTGAAGTTGTTAACTCACTTGTCTACCATTGGTTTCTGTGTTGCCATAGTTATTATATTGTCTCCTTGCATTGGCTAGCCAAATGGCCAATCCCCTCCTTTGCCCAGCAGCCCTTATAAGCTGCGGGAAATTTGAATAAAGCTCTCTTCGCTGCTGGGTTCCTTGAGTGCTACGTGGTCTCTGTCTCCTGGCTTAAGTACCTCCGCCGCCTGTCCCTGCCACGAGGGATGGGTGGCGGGGGGGTGATCCCAGCCCTGAAAACCTTCACAGAGCGGCCGGCAGTGACCCCCCAGAAACCCCTCGAACAGCTACAAATAATCACGTGGTACAGTACTTCTATACCTAATCAAGTACTGTATCTGTGGAGAAATCTAAATTTATATGAAGAGAAAACCAGTTCTTCATCTATCATGTTCCCATAGTATATTTTATCCTAAGGAAAACTAAAAAACATCATTCTATTTAACACCAGCATTTTTATATACACTTGATTTCAATTATACTTAAATATTTATGAATATCAGAGGTATAGGCTTCCTAAAATTCTATCAGTCAGGATCAGTTAATCTTATTAGTTTCAGCTGCTGTATATTCTACTGTGAAACACCTAAAGCATCTGCTGCATGACATGCTAGATTGAGATTCTTGTATACTTCCAAAAATAATAATGCAGTACAGAGACGTCAAATATTTCTAAAGCTAAGAAATTGTCAATTTCCATCATTTCACTACACATTAACTTCATTCACTGAAAAGAAACAGACTGTTTTGATGTCAGAATAACACAAATAAATTTACATTATAAATTTATAATATATTATTCAGTGCATAAGTTTACAAAAGCAGAGGTAGGAAAACTCTGACATAATTCTAAACATAAGTAGCATGGCTTTCTTACAAATCTGTAACATACTTTTAAAAAGGGAAAAAAGGATTTAAAGTTTTTATCCCTTAATTTTAAGCACATCTGTATTTTGATTAATGCAAGACAGAGCCACAAGTTTAAAGAATAAAGTATAAATCACATTACCTATAAAATAGCAATATAAAAATTGAGCTTAAGTAATTAAAGCTTGAGAAATAGGATCAACCATATCTGCTCTACCATAATTGCAAATTATCTTTCCCACACATCCATTTCAGAAAATGCCTCAACCTATGAAGCTTTTTATTTATATTCCATCCCTATATCCAAAGCAAACCTACCATGCTTTTCAGGTTATCCAATTTTGATCACTGAACATTAATTTATGCTTGTACAAACAGTGTTGCCCTTATGTTTATGAAGCTTTAGCATGCATACATAAAATTGTTGCAAGTGTAAAAATATTTTTAATTTTAGTGATATATTATTAGAAAATGTTCCAAGATAAATAAAATAAAAAAGATAGATATCTCTTACAATTGCCTGGATAAAAATACCACATTTTTCTAGGAAAAAGTAAAGAGTAGATGGAGAAAGCATAAAAGCAAGAGAGCTAAAAACTGATATAATAAATGAATCATAAAATCATGAATCATAGAATGGTTTGGGTCAGAAGGGACCTTAAATACAATCTATTTTCAACTCCCCTGCCATGGGCAGGGACACCTTCTACTAGTCTAGGTTGCTCAGAGCCCCATCTAGCATCTCCTTGAACGCTTCCAGACATAGTTGTGGGAAAGCCACAACTCCGGGCAACTTGCTCCAATGCCTCACTACTCTCACAATAAAGAATTTCTTCCTAATTTCTAATCTAAATGTACTCTTTCAGTTTTAAACCTTCAAAAAGCAAAATAATTCAAGAGTACTTATGTTAAAATTAGAAAGAAACCTACTGATTAGCCTATCTTATGGAGACAAGTTATTATTTTGTAATAAGTTCATAAAAGAACAACCTTCCATTCTAATGAATGTAACTATGCTGTATATGAGATAAATTGTAGGACCTCAAGCAACCATGAATTTCAATTTCAGACCAATGAAAATGTTTTGTTTATTTCACAGGTTATTAAACTCTGAATCTTCAAGTACGCAAACAAACTTAAACAGGTGTAAATGATTGTTTATAAGATGGTAAAATTAGTATTGATTTTAAAAGGGTAAAAATGTTTAACTAAGCAGAACTGGGGAATGTTATGTTACAAATTTAAGAATTGTTATTTCTAAACACTCCTGCATTGCTGAGCATAACCTGGCAGGAGAAAAGATACTCTGAAGTTCTCTCTTCTCCCAACAGCCCTTAAGTAATGTGTAGCATATTCACAAGGCTATATATAGTTGTGTACTGTTGAAAAGGTCATTGTAGCTAAACACAGACTCTGCAAGCCTGTATTATGCGAAAGATCATCTTTACTCAACAGTTAACAAATGTTTACTCTGTAAACTTAATTTCTTGAGGCCTTGGTAATCTCCAATGCTTAAGATAAAAGGAATGAAAAGATACTCTTTTCAACAACACAGAATATACATTCTATCCTGATAAACAGATTTCAATGAAAGTATTCCAGACAAGACTCAACTACTTAAAGGGGAAAAAGGTCAGGTAGTTGGTAGTTGTATTTTGAAATGAAATTCATCACAGTTTTCTAAGTTATTAACTGCTGTTGAAGAGGAGGATGTAACAAGTTTATTACAGTTAGTCACTTAAATATATGGCATACATTTGGTCTTCTGAATCTGTTTAACACTCCTAAATATATCCCAGATTAAAACAGATTTTTTGCAAGTATTATGTGGAATTAACTGTGTAATGTTTTCCTAAACTGCAATACAGAAATCAAGTCACTGAGCTATTACTTTTACTGCTGCATGCAAATTGAAACCATTAAGTAGCTCATATAGACTTCCTCTCTGTTCTTCCTAAACTTGGGATCTCTTTTTATAAGGATAATTGTCAAAAGCAAGAAATAATATATTTACAGTGATAGGTAAAGCATGTCAATAGAAAGCAAAAGCTACGACTTTAAACCACTCATTTTCTCATGAATGTACTGTTAATCTTTGTATACACAGAGATGGTGTTCATCATACCAGGCAATCCATCCTGTAAAATGACAATTACATAGGTTTATAGAAAATAACCTGTGCAACATGCAAAGTCCTGCTGGATGCACCATGTACTTCTGAGCCCTGCCTGGAATTAGACAGCAACCTTCTCTATGAAATACATTTAGACCCTTACACTGTAAGAACAGCTTGGTAATACCTGTGTGAATACTTCAATATTAGTAGCAGATATTCAGCGGCCAAGTGATTAAGAAATTAGCTAGTTTTCACTGTAAAAGGTTGATCACCAGTGTAACAAGGATTGAAGACCTTGTTCAGGCAAACAACATCTGTCTGAGCTCTTATCCATTCACTGAAAAGTATCTAGTCTTGATTCTAAAAGTCAATGACAGGCAGCTCAGCTTCTTCTTAATCTAACTATAGCTTAATAGTATATGACATTAAAAATCTTCACATATTCCTACCTGCATTTATTTTGCTTCAGCACCCAAACAGTGTATTTTCTTTTGTCATTTTTCTGGTATATTAACATGATAAGTAATGCAAAAGGTAACTTCTGATTCTAGGTATTTTCTGTTATCAAGTCATTTAACTTTCTCCCAAATAATTTATACATACCAAAATTGTTTGCTTTCTCACTATAAACAGTGCCTTCTCAGACCTACTTTGAAATTGGTTTCAAAACCAAAAGAAATAGAATTAGTTACTCTTAGAAATATTAACAACTGAGCACTATTTGGTTTTACCTTAATGTTTAATCCAATATACAACATAATGTTACTATCCTCAAGTTTAGGCTTTTAATATCTTTTTTTATCTGAATCAGTTATACACAGTGATCCTCAAATATTTTTAAGAATCACTGCATGTGGGAAAGGATCATAGTTTATTTTTTTAAGTGTGAAGGATAAGCATTTCCCTACTCCATTGTCACGTGTGGGGAAATATTTATGGGATATTATAATAAATACATTTCATTACATGTTCCTCATCTGGTCTCTCTGTCAACTTACTGGGAGAGGGGTGTGGTTTTCCTTTTTGAATTTGACTTTGCTAAACATTAGCCTGCCTATAACTGTTAAATTGCACCAGCTGGCCTTCTCTATAACAAGAGCTAGCAAGTGACCACAAAAAATCTCAATAACAAACCCATATACAGTGATAAAATAATTTCAGTGACAAAATAATGTCTGTGACAAAATACA